ATTAAATAAAATCCAAGACCTACTACTAAAATGTTGTTTGTGACCCACAAATTGAGAGTATCGTTTCACTTCGAACAATAATAATACATTCATTCTTGCTTGATATTAAACTGATTAATGATATGAATTCTACATGGCCCGTGGATTCCAAACCGGAATCCACGGCCTATCGACCAATCAAATTCTCCGTATTATCGGAATACACGGGTCACAATGAGACAATACAAACAAAACATGACTGACGTCTACTGTCAGCTCACGAAACTTTCGTTTAAAAAAAAAAAGACTTTTGATTTTTGATTTTGATTTACAAAAACTAATGATTTTCTTTCAAATAATTCGAAGAGAAAGTATAATCTTCTACTCGCAAATAATGCCTATTATTCACTCGAATGATTCCAAAACTCGCCTTCGGCTCGTGTTTGAATTTTCATTCTCATAACTCTCTTAATAGCTATCATTATATGCTCGTTGAAGAATATACTATTAAAGATTTTTTTCGAAGAATTCACTGAGCCACTGCATTCAGCTCAAATAGGTTGTCACCCCTTCTGTTAACAAATTAACAGGAGGCCCATAATATGCTCAGTTTGCTCAGCGAATAAATATTAGGGGTGGGTCAATAGTTTAATAAGTACAGAATGGCAAGGACGCCACTGAATTTAAAAAAATAATAATAAATAAATTACATTTAATACTGAAGTGTGAAATTTCAGAAACACACCTAGAAAAAAAAATAGCAAACGATAACCGAAAATTCTGGAAAAGAAAAAAAAAATTAAATAAGGCATACAACTCAACCAAATCTTGATATACGTAAAACCAATGAAACACTCAAGCAATTTTCAAATCAAAATAGTACATATTTTCACAGTGAGGTTAAAAGTCGAGAATTAAAAAATTTCAAAAGATAAAATCAATTGTTGGTAAAACACTTTAAATAAAATCAATAAATAGAGGTTAACTCTCGATCAGATTCATCAAATTCCAAAAAAAAGTAATATTACAATGTACCTCAATATACTCGCCATATAAGTTAATTAACAGTCGCTGGCCATATCATTATCATGAAATGAAAATATAAAAGATTAAAGTTTTCAGAAATTTAATTAAAGAAAAAAAAATGATTGAAAATTGTATTGATAAATATGGTCAGCTTCTACTTAAAGAATAAATTCAATAAAATCAACTTAGTTATAAAGGCAAAACATTTAGTGATCCTCAAACGGTGGCAGACGCCTTTGCGCAGTACTTTGGCTCAGTATTTCAACATTCTTCAAGAGAGAAATTTAAACCAAAGAAAGCCACTGATGATGATTGCATACCACCTTATACAGTGTCCCCTATAATGTTCGCTACACATGGGGAAATTTTTCATTTGTAGGATATGGAATTTTTTCTTATGTGCGATCGATCCTGCATGTCCGATAACCTGAAAGTACATTTTGACATCGCTCACGTGATCACTGTTGTGGCGGCAAATTCGAAAATTTATTTATGGACACGCGAAAAGTAGGGTTAGATGGCAAAATATCGGAAAAAGTTTATTGAAAAAAGTGATGAGAAAGATGTCTTAAGCAGGACGCGCACTGAATCGACTCGGACCGGTCGACTCGGCGAAGAGCATTCGGTAGTTTTTGATACTCATGCAATTAAATGAGAGTCGAGTCGACCACGTCGAGTCGACGAGTCCGATGCCGTGCGCGGAGTCTCATTTAATTGCATGAGTATCAAAAACTACCGAATGCTCTAGGCCGAGTCGACCGGTCCGAGTCGATTCAGTGCGCGTCCTGCTTTAGGGCTATCTACAAAATTTGAAGCAAAAGCAACAAAAAAAAAAAAAAAAAAATGAAATTACTTATCAAAAAATATTACATAGTCCAAGTACATCAATATTTAATGTGTATTGGTAAAACCAACTTAAATTTTTTATTGGAATCATTCCCAGAGAATTGAATAAATACATTCGTTTAGCACGTGAAACTTTTCTGTAGCAATACCTTGTATCTTGACAGTTAAGTAACGCGTTTTAGAACTGTATTGGAATATTTAATAAAAAATCTCAATAACGGTTATTTCCAATTGTTTTATCAACAGTAAACTATTAGAAATTTCACAAACTGTCAAGATACAGGGTATTGCTACATAAAAGTTCCATGTGCGAATCGAATATTTTTATTTAATACTCTAGGAATGATTCCAATGAAGAATATAGGTTTGTTTTACCAACACAAATTGAGGTACTTAGACTATTTCAATAATAAAAACTGTAAATATGATTTGTAAAGAGATCCATGGCGAAAAACAAATAATTTCTTATTTTTTGTTGCTTTTGCTCCAAATTCCGCAGACAGTCCTAAAACATCGTTCTAATCAATATTTCCGATAATTTACCATCTAACCCCACTTTTCGTGTTTCCATATCTAAGTTTCCGAATTTGCCGCCACAACAGTGATCACGTGACCAATGTCAAAATGTACTTTTATGTTATCGGACATGCCGGATCGATCGCACATAAGAAAAAATTTCATACCCTCCAAATAAAAAAATTAAATTTCCCATATGTAGCGAACATTGTGGGAGACACTGTAGACACTGTTTATACAAGGGTTGTGCGAATATTATGTCTGTGCCCCCGGAAAATATTTTTAACATGGCTATTAAATCTAATCAGTTTCCTGACCAGTTAAAGTATGCTAGTATCACTCCAATTTATAAAGGAAAGGGGGATACAAATTCAGTTGAAAATTATAGACCCATAAGTGTATTGAGTTCTATTGCAAAAATATTTGAAAACATACTTTACAATGATATACTTGAAATATTTAAAAATTATTTTGCTAAGGAGCAGCATGGCATTTTGCCTGACAGGTCCACAGTAACCAACCTCACAGATACAGCTGCTCAAGCAATTCTTAATAAAAACCAATTGGATGTGATAATGATGAACTGCGCGAAGGCATTTGATAAGGTGGATCATGGACTACTGGACAAATTAAATGCAATTGGTTTCTCTGAGAGTGTTTGTAAACTTATGTTCTTTTACCTATTATATAGAAACCAGCAAGTGAAAAATGGAAAAAATCTTTCAAGGAGTTTTATCGCTTCATCAGGCGTTCCTCAGGGAAGTACAGAATGGCAAGGGCGCCACTGAATTTAAAAAAAATAAATAATTGAATTAGATTAAATATTGAAGTGGAAAAAATCAGAAACACACCTAGATAAAAAAAAAGTTAGCAAACGATAATCGATAATTCTGAAAAGGAAAAAAAAAAAAAATTAGGCACACAACTCAACCAAATCTTGACATAGGTAAAACCAATAGAACACTCAAGCAATTTTCGAATCAAAATAGTATATATTTTCACAGTGAGGTTAAAGATCAAGAATTAAATAATTTTAAAAGAAAAAACCAATTTTTAGTAAAGCACTTTGGATAAAATCAATAAATAGAGGTTCACTCTTAATCAAATTCATCAAATTCCAAAAAAAAGTAATACTACAATGTACCTCAATATACTTGCCATATAAGTTAATTAACAGTCGCTAGAAATCCTTAAATATATAAGTTATACCGAAGTTAAAAATTGATCAATTTTCGACGATGTAGGTACTTACTCAAAAATTTCAAAATTAAAGCATGTTGTCCAACCTTGACCCCAGTTCAGATTACTGATTATGAATAATAAAATTTATATTTCTAAAATATTATAATTATTCCACCGTCACCTCGGTGTCTAGAATGTGAAATTTTAAATATGTGTATGTAAGTCATATCAGAAAAAAAAAACAATTATTTTTTTTAATTGATTGTAGAATAGATTTCATAAAAAAATTTATTAAAATTTGTTAATGAAACTTTATACAAGTCTCCATCCCAACAAATGGGGGATTACGGTAGCCATCCAGCCATTCATTTTCTGTCACTTGACGAGGGAAGTTGCACATGGAAGTTGCAGATTCTAGCCTTGAATCAAGAGGCTAGAAGTTCTCAAGATCCGTCAAATGTGGAGGTGCAGGAGTCAATACGTTAGGGACTTGATCCCTCTAAGAAACCCTTCAAAAGCTCTATGCCACACTCCACGAAAATTGTGTTTTTTAAAAATATGGGTTTGTTGGGAATGGATTCGTTGAGAGAAACGGCTTCTCGGAAAAACGGCTGCTCGGAAAACTCTAAGATATTCTATGAACAACTATTACTTGAAAAAATTAAAAAGGGCTAACCACGAGGGGGTTCGAAATTCAAACTCAAAAAGAAACGGTAATCACAAGACTTCCGATTTAATTTTTTCCGGTATCTAATGGATTATTGCCTTACGCAACTTTATTTCGTTAAAACAGTACCTGATTGCCGATAAGGTATTTTTTCCACGAGCACGGTTGTCTTAGGAAGATGGCGGTTTTTGGCGCAGGATCGATTTTTCAGCACGAAGGATAAAATTTGAAGGGGCCGAGGAAAGAATCGGACAGAATGAACAGGCAGAGCTTCCCCTCAAAAAAATTGCCAAGGCGAAGTGTTGGCACTAAACTGGTACCTACTTCAAACTTAAACGAAAATCGTGCCCGCTAGTTTAATAATTGCTAATATTACTAGCAGCAGAAACCTTTTTTTCTAATGCTAGTCACCAGACTGTCAACATTAAGGCCCAGTTTCACAATATATAGTAACCTGTAGTGGTTGGTTAACTTATACCTATTAGTTAACTACAGCTTTTGTAGTTAACTTGTTTCACAAAACTCAGACGATGTTCAGTTAAGAAACCTTTAGTTATTTTAAGGTTGGTAATACATTTTTGACATTTTTCCGAATTAATATGGCCCCTTATCATATTTCTAGCAGTTTTTGCGAAATTTCAAGATTTGATAATTGATAAATCAAAAGATTTGATGATTTATTTTGGTTTGAGTTGTGTTTTAAATAATTTATTAATTATTTTATTTTCCACAATTTGACATTCTTATATCTTGTACTGTGTTCCTTGTGTTGTGCTTTTGAAAAATGTCAGGTCGAGCGGCTAATTTTTGCAAAGAAGAGGAGCTTTTCCTTATTAGTTTAATTGATAAGTATAAAAATGTAATCGAGTCAAAAAAAAGTGATGCAAATTCATGGAAGGACAAAGAAATGGCATGGAAAAAAGTGGAAGCAGAATTTAACGCTTCATGCAAGACTAATGGAGTCAGGCCATTAAAAGTTTTAAAAGAAAAATATAGGAATCTCAAGAAAAAAACCAAAGAGAAGTTTTCAAGAGCCAAAATGGAACTTATAAAAACTGAGGTCCTGTTTATAAGCCCCCAATAGTAACAGACATAGAGGAGAGAATAAAGAGCATCCTAGGGGACCAGCAAGTATGTGGCTCAAAAAATAATTTCGATTGTGATGCAAAATCCTCGGCAAAATCTAATGCAATTGAATCTTTTCCTACACCAGATATTGTTGAAATTTCAAGTATGGATTTCGGTAAGTAGTCAAACTATGTTCAAAGCCTATTGTTTAAAGAAATATTTCTTTTTAGTTTTAGAAGAATCTCAGTCTCCTGTGAAGAATTTTGATAAAGTCAAGATCTTTGAAGGTAAAATGTTAAAACAATATGATGAAATCAGTTAGAATGTAAGATAGGGGTTGTTTAGTGGAGTCATTTTTTTTTTGTCTGGCATTTTGAGGGCTAAATGTGGCTACTAAGCTGATGAGAATATGGGTGATTTCAATGCCGGCCTCCCGTTCGAAAATTTGCAGAAGAAAAAAATTAATTTACATGAAGATTTTTTTTTTTAATGATCTGAAGATTTCTGGTTTCTAAATAAAAGATTGACATTGATAAATAATTCATCCATGAAAAATATCAGATGCTTTTCAATAGCTGAAAAAATGGGGATGGGTGTTAACTTCCAAGAGAAAAGAAAAGAAACTTCCGCGTTTACTTTTTGTCTGGCAATCGAGAGAATGTAAGGTTTTGTTGTGAAAATAACGCTGAAAAATCGCCAGACGGTAATCACATTCGAAATCGAGTTTTCCGGCGAAACATTCTGTGGACATTTCGAACAGGAGGCAGGCATTAAAACTACTTATACTCTCATCAGCTAACTAGCCACATGCATCCCTCAAAATGCCAGACAAAAAAAAAATGACTCCACTAAACAGGCCCTATCTCAGGGTCTAAGTGTATCTAATCATATTTTTGACTGATTTCAGTGAACGAATCCTTGAATAAATTGGAAAAATGTTCTATGAAAGCAACAGGTATAGGACCCAGCAATAATTTAATCATAAAATATTTGTATTTTTAATATTTTTGTCTATGAACAGAATGTGATCAAATAAATGAAATGGAACGCGAACCACAACAATGCAGCAGCTGGTCTAATTATTCAAGTAAAGACCTAAAAACACCAGTATCAAAAAAACTTAGATTGGAAGAAAAGTCATGCCAGTCAGGTATGAAAAAAACTATAACAAAAAAGTACAATAACAGAAATGCAGTCTTAATTAATGAAAAATTGGATTTTGTAAGGCTACAAAAAGAAAAATTTATGGAAGAACATGAAATGAAAATGCGAATATATAAATTAAAGCTATCTCTTTTAAAAAAAAGGTCGGAAGAATGATAAGATTGTCGTTTGTGCAATGTTTGCTATTATTACATATGTAGTTTTTGTTATTCTGTAGTTTGTAGTTTTTCTTTTAAGATAAGGTATTTATGAGAAAAAAAATATATATATATTTTGTATCTAATTTGTTTTATTTAAAATTTAAAGATATTGACAATAATTTTCAAAACAAAGATAAATCTATGAATAGTTATAGATTGGCAAAATAATTATCTATTAAAAACGCCCTTGTTCTGTTATTTTCCATCAGGACATTGTCTGCTACATTAGGCACATTAACATTGTTGAACAAATCGATAGCTGCTTCTTGTTCTCTATTGATGGGTGGTAATATTTCATTCTGGTTGCAAGCTATATTGTGCAGAATGGCTGTAGATACAATAACTGCTTGAACATTGTCTAAATTTTTCAACCTGATACCCATTGCAAGAGCTGGAAATCTTCTCTTCCACACACCATATTTCCTTTCCACTACATTCCGGGTGCGTATTAAAGATTCATTAAACAATGCCGCAGCTTCATTTCTAACAACACGAAGAGGTGTGATAAGATAGGGCTTTATGGGGTAACCACTGTCTCCTACAATTACCTGATTTTCGTAATTTCCTCTTTCGAAGTTATGGCATAAAGTAGAGTTTCTAAAAATGTGAGAGTCATGAGCCGAACCTTGCTACCTGACCACAATATCTCTGAATCTTAGGTCAGCATCAGCTACTGATTGGACATTTAATGAAAAAAATAGCTTTCTATTTCGATATATTTCTGCATTTGGACCTCCTGGGGACTGCATTTTTACGTGGCTACAATCTATCGCACCTATACATCGAGGAAATCTTGCAATATTGTAAAACTTTTGACATACATCATTAATTTCATCTCCTTCAGGCATATATATGTATTGTGGCCTCAAAGATGCAATAGCTCGACTAACTCGAGCCACAGTTCTTGAAGCAGTAGCCTTGCTTACACCTCCGAAATCACCAGGAACTCTTAAAAATGAGTAAATGACCCATTTGCATAGAAGTTTAAAGTAAGCAGTAATTGCTGACTTGCTGTAAGATGCTTCTGAAATAAAATTCAAGTGAAGTCGGTTGTTTTTTTTTTTTTCAGTTTCAAACGTACCTTTCAGTAGGATGCGAAATAAGTGGTTCAATCTCTTCCAATACATGTTCCACTGTTTGTGGTCTTAATCTGAATCGAGTAAAAAACTCGTGGTCATCATATTCCTAGTGCAATGGAAATTATTGATAATTTTTGGGAAATTTTCCCGAATGCATTTTTAGTTGAAAAAGAGCACGAGTGCACGTAGTGCACGAGTGCCTTTTTCAGTTAAAAACGCATTCGGGCAAATTTCCCAAAAATTATCAATAATTTCCATTACACGAGTTGTATTTAATGAGAGAATTTCATAAATCAAAAAATTAATTTTTTTGTCAAAAAATTTCAAAACACCAGTTTTCGCACCAGGGACCTTATTCTTGAAACAGGGGAGCAGAGTTCCCAGGAGAACGAGTGTTTTGTCTTTGTTACTTATATTATCATATTCATATCATTGAGAAAGACGGAACATTCGTTCTCCTGGGAACGCTGCTCCCCTGTTTCAAGAATAAGGACCCAGTTAGTATGCAATTATCTGATAATTTGCACTAGTGCAAATTATCGCGTAATTGCAATCTGATTGGTTCAAATCAATAATCAAAACATGTCAGTTCATTGTTGGAATACCAGTTTTGACAGATGTATGAAATTCTCAAAATAATTTATTCGAGGTCTGAATGTTCTGGGTCTTCTTTCTTCCTCATCGCTACTGTAGGCATAAATATCATAATCATCCATATTTTGTAACGTATTATAAAAAAAAACACACACACAAAACACTTTCAAACTTAGCGCTTCAGATAAAAACGAATAAGTTAAAGCCTTTTATAATAAACATAACGTCAAAAAGTTCAATAAACGTCAATAAACCTGGAGTTAACGCAAACTGTTCCTAAGGTTAATTTACCTACAAGTTAACTATTAGTTATATGATAACTATTGATTGTGAAACATCGGTTTTGTGTTAAACTAGTGGTTATCACTTGACTAGTAGTTAACCCACTATTGTGAAACTGGGCCTTAAGGTAATAATTGAACTAAAAAAATTATATTTGAAAGAGAATGGAACAAGTAGAATTTGCAATGCTACAAGGTTTCTACCAAATTTCGTAAATATGTACAAAGTGTTGATATATTTATAGCCAAATTAATATTTGAGATCAAGCGGGGAGGAATATGTATAACATTTTTGCATTTGCTCCTCGATTATTTGCTCTCAACTTATGAATAAACTTGGTTCAAAGAACAATTACAATAACATATACCCCTGGAACCACTCACTCACATTATTAATAGGTGTTTTGAAACAGGAATAATCCCATCTCATTCCAAAATTACAGTTATTACTCCTATACACAAAAGTGGTTCTAGGACTTCTATAAAAAACTATAGACCAATAAGCATGATAAGTACCTTTGCCAAGTTGTTTGAGAGATGCCTTAAGGACAGACTATGTGCATTTTTTCAAAGAAACAAAATCTTATCTGGGAATCAGTATGGCTTCATAGAAAAGTCTAACACAGAAGATGCAATGATTGCACTGACAACTGAGATTGTAAAAGGTTTGAATTTGGGAAGGAAGTGTGCGGCTGTTTTTATTGACTTGGCTAAAGCGTTTGACACAGTTCCCCATGAGAAACTTCTTCTTGTTCTAGAACAATATGGAGTGAGGGGGACTGTGCTAGGGTTGTTTCGAAACTATTTATGTTATAGATATCAGATGGTCAAACTGAATGGTGTACTTAGCAACAGACAAGAAATCAAAATTGGTGTGCCTCAAGGTACAGTGCTTGGACCTATTTTGTTTATTACTTACATAAATAGTCTACTATCATTAAATATAAATGGTAAACTGATTTCATATGCGGATGACACAGTTTTGTTGTTCGATGGTGGTTCTTGGAGTGAAATTAAAGAAAAAATGACAGTGGGTCTCGCTATAACAAAAAACTGGTTAGACTCATTCAGGCTATCTTTGAGTTTAAATAAAACCAATTACATCGCTTTTTCTCTGACAAATGCTAACAGGCCACACTTCGAGTACTTTGAATTTGCAAATCAACAAATTAGAGAAGTCCCTCAAACAAAAAAGGCATTGTAATTGATAAATTCTTGAAATGGCAACCTCATGTAGAATATCTTTCAAATAGAATTAGGGGACTAATACATTAATTTTATTTGATCAGGCAATTTCTGGGAAGGAGAATATTGATCTCAGTCTATAGGGCCCTTGTCGAATCGCTGCTCAGATATGGGATATTGGTGGAGCCTATCAATCTGCATTGTCTGGACTGATGATCACTCAAAAATATATTTTGAAAATCATATACAGAAAAGACAGACTGTACCCCACAAGACGTTTATTCTCGAATAATATTTTTGATGTAAGAAATTTATACATTATCTGTGCAGCTAATTATATTCATAAAACTAACAGTAGGGAAAATATTGTAAACCATCAGTATTGCACTCGTGCAAAGATCAATCAAGATAATGTTATTCCAGTAAACCATAATAATGCCAACCTGAAAAGCTTGGCCTATCTGGGCCCTAAAATTTACAATAGGATTCCTGTAGCAATAAGAAGCTTAAATG